TTCAAGTGTTTTAAAAACACTTTTCTAGTGCTTGTAGAGGAGAGTGAAAGTGGGGACGTTTCTCTGTCTCTCTGCATTTTAAAGTTTTCTTTGACCATTTAACATCAGTGTATCAATTAGAGATAGCACACAAAAAGTTTATCTACTATGTGTAACTCAAACCCATGCCCCAGAGTACCTCAAGTACTTCACTGTAAAATGTGGTCGAGAGTTTTTTAAGAATTATCCCAATTGGGATTTGGTAAAACCAAGCCAGACCACACTTAATCTCTCTTTGTTGCTGATGTTCGAGCTTCAGACTATAGTAATGACTATATTAAGTACTTGGAAATTGTGAAACCAAAAATCATGGGGTTTCTGCTATTTGTACTCCTGTACATCTTTTATATGTGGATCCTGCTAACAGGTGTGTGCCATGTCTTTACAGAAGCAAATTTAGGAACTAAGGCTTGCCTTGCTTTCCTCTCAGACTCACTGTGAAAATTTTATCTAATGTACATAAGAGGGCTTTACAAACCAAGTTGTGCTATGCAAATATATATGACTCCTTATCATTTATAAGGAGTCACATGGTTCACGTGATTCACAGATAGGTCACCTATCTGGTTTCAGAGGAGGGAAACTTAGGGGTGATAAATTCAAAACTGTTTTTTATAGTTTAATGTTTTCATAACCTAATGAGGACAAGTCAGAAGAACAGAGAACTGGATGGGGGGAAGGGCAAGTTTAAGTTCCATCTGCCTAGGCTGGAGGACTGGTGGGAAGGGAACAACTTCTGAAAAGATGAGAGGTTACAAAGTGGAAAGGGGTGACCTGGGAACAGGGTGTTTTTAAAGAGTAGCAGAGCAGAGAATAAAGTCACAAGACTTGTTCACAAGAGGGTGCTGGGTTAAAGCCTGACCTTGAGCCACAAATCACAGAATCACACGGCTGGAAGGAATCTGAAGAGGCCATCTCGTCCACTCCCCCACCATTCAGCAGGACATTTCAACCATCCCAAACAGATGAGACTTTATCCCACTTTGAATGAAACACTCTGACACCAAATGGGCAGGTATTGACTGCTGTGGTTTCAACTGTTTACAATGGACAAGAAAACAATTTCTGGAATTTCATTTGAACCTCAAGTGAAACGGGGAAAGAATAAGTGGCTAAATTTTCCTTGAGAACAATCCTCTGCGGTAGTTTAGAGACTGCTAAATTAGCAATAACTAATAGTTACTCTTAAAGAGACAGGAACTGTCACTAACAGAACTGGGTTAGAGAATAAATGGCCCACAGCATCATATGGGGAAGAATGCATTATGATCATTCTTGGTTTTTGTGGGAGTCTTCTTTCCACGCAGGAGCCTGGAGCAGAATGACACTAACGAAAACAAAACTTGGTTTAAAAAAAGCAATATGGTCCAGCAAATTCCAGGACTGACATTGAGAACTTAAAAGAGTTCAGTTCTTCTCCTAATACAAGACAATAAATCCTCACCAAATTAGAAACTGAAAAGGAAATAAAAAGGTCCTCATTTCCAATCGTGGGAATGTTACACATGAACTCTGGCTTAGAAGGAGGAGGGAGGACATTCCACACCTGCAAGACTTCCCAGGAAAGGGGCCCGGGACTGACCTTGAACCCATTCCCTCAAGGTTACCACCATGGGACCATCAATATGGAAATAATGTTACTTTATTCCCTTAGTGGGTATATTATTTCCAGTGCTATCAACAGCAGCCATAATCTGAAAGGAGGCAGCTGAGAATTTCCAAGGAAGGAGGAAAGTAAAGAGTTATTTTGGGATGTACACATAAATGGTTTAGCTGCAGTTCAACAGGATGGGCGTACATGGGTGTACATGCACAGACAGGGCTATGTCTCTCTGTATTTATAGACATGTATGTTGGAGGAAGCAAGGCGCATAGGAAAAACATTACACTTCTGAATTCACCAGTCACTTACATGTGAACTTCGGGAAGTTAACTTGATTTTACCTCTTCATCACCAAAACTTCAGGCCAATTTAGTCAGGCAGTCAGTGGAGCCAGATGTTTGGCAATGCATAGGAAACAACATCTGGATGACTTATTGAGTAGTCAGCTAAACTCACTAGATGTTTGGCAGCATGCCCACACAGCCTTTAATGGCTTTCTGCCTCAGTTTCCCTAGCTACAAAAAGGAGACAAACATTATTTATCACTTACCTCCCAGGGAGCACTGAGGATGATACAGTATCCAACTGTAACAATGAGCTCTTGAAAATAACTTTTCTGTGACAGTACTAGGTCATACATTTCCAGGTTGGATTTTTTTCCCTAAGCAATTAGTCTTTAAGACACAAAAGGACTCTGAAATTTGGTCAAGTGCTATACAAATACAAGACATTTTCATTATCATCAACATTATCGTCATCATCATTGTAATTTCCTACTTTATGACCTCCCTAAAGCATCTCACTTTCACATTGAATCACAGGAAACGTGTGAATTTTATTTAATGTCTGAAAAAACGAGTTTTAACCATGTAAAGCAACAGAGATGAGAGGGAAAAAGCAATGTGGGTGTTTGGAGCCTAACCAATTTTAACAGCTCAACAGGTAAAACTGGTCCATCAATGAGAATTAATTGGTTGCTCAATGACATTTCTATGGAAACTGAAAATGTTCACATACTAATTTATGACCAGAGAAAGGAATTGAAATGGTGACTTTTCCAATTCTGACTATTACCTCCCTAGGAACAGGTTTCAGTTTCTTCAGCTTTCATGGCTAAAAGTTAGAGGAAAGGAAAATAAGGAAATAATATAGAAGAGGAATGAAGAGATCTGAAGCCATACAAAACTATATGAACAGACTTAGACTGGCAAAAAAAAAAACCCACTGGAACTCTCTTTCAAAGTCAATACCTGCCAAAGAGAGAAAAGCCAGTACATAATTCTCATAACTACCCTTTAATAATGGTCTGTCAGGCATATGCAATTACTAGTTTTTGTGTGTGCATAGTACACACACACATACCTACACAGCAGCTTTTGAGAGCTCTGTAATACTACCAATGAGAGAACTAAGGCTCAGAGAGTTTAACTGACTTGCCTAAAGTTATGTATCTGGTAAGACCCACAACCACATTCACATCCATTTGGATTCAAAGACCATATTCTTTCCACTGTACATAAAGCCTTTGCTAAAATGGCTTGCTTTAAATATCTGTAGTGCTGCTGAATCATATTGAAGCCCAAGTCTGATGCAGCTTTTCCCTTTCCTTAGGTGGGGTGCACCCATGGGCCTTTGTCTGATCTTTCTTATGACCGAATCTCCTCTGCTTATCTTTATCCACTCTAACCCTATTTATGTTGCTCATGGCAGATCTTAGCCCTTGCACCTCCCTGGAGTCTTCTCACTAGCCTAGCTCACCATTAGGCCTAAGCACATCACCCAATCACCCCAAACTAGTCAGCAACATCTCTCTCTTCTTTTGGCAGGACTGGGGTGTGAATTCAGGGCTTCACGGTTGTAAAGCAGGTGCTTTACCGCTTGAGCCACATCTCCAGTCCTCTCTTCAGGCTCTCATCATATCATAGACTGCCCTTTACTTTTGTTTAACCACAGTTTATGCTTGTGTTTCCCATCCTGAGGAGAACATCAGACTTCGTTCTCCACAGTCCCTGGAACCTGGCTGACCATATAGTGGGTGTTCCTTAAGATCTGTTGACCAGAGGACTTGCTGACAGTATTCCTCATTTAGCATTAGGGACACAGTGATGGACCCTGAGATTTTGTCTTCACCAGTGCAGCACTGGGATGTAACTGGTTGAGTGGAGTCACCCAATGCATTTGGTTTGAGATAATTTGGAAGACAAAAACCTACCACTGTTGGCAGGTGAAGCATGTACATTGTCTGTGCTCAGATCCCCTCAGAGATGCATTTTGAAATAACCACACTGTATCTAACAAGGCTTGCTTGAACTTAGTGAGGTTGTACTTTCACAACAAAAGGGAGGATTGGTTACGTAATGTGCTCAGCAGCAGTAACAGCCATTTATTAAGTGCTCATTGAGTGCAGAGCACTTTATGAGGCACTGGAGAAGTTACACCCAAGCATGCTGTCAATACTTTCACAATGCAACTGCAGTAAAATACACCACCATTAGAACGCCCTTCCAAACATTTTCTAAGAAACACAAAAATTTTACTGCTAAGCTTCATATTAAAAAAACCCACAAAATCATGCCAAAATCTTCATACAGAAACTTCTGTCCTTATGTAAGTATTTTAGTTTCATTAAGTTCTTCCTAAGCTAAAAACAGAAGCCATGGTACGAGGCCCATTCGTGGCTCATGAGGCAGGAACACCATCATCACTGGCATATGGTAGGTAGCCTTTCCGGTGGCCCTTAAAAAAATTGTGGCCACAAAGAAATCACAAGCAGATGGTACCACTAACTTCTATTAAACTCCTTGTAAGAGGAAAAAGTGTGTGTACAGGTCGAGGGGATCTGTGAGTCAGAAGCTACCAAGGATGCAGTGAAATTGGACCTCTCGTATCTTGCTGGTCGTAGTGACAACTGATGCTTTCTCATTGGAACAGAATTTGAAGACAGGAATTGAAATGCTCATTTCTTTTGACTAAAGACGAGGAGAAAGCACTATGTGTGAATCGTCGTCAATACAGTATCATTTTAAAAGAACTACACATCTTGTGTACTTGTAACTATGAAAAATGACTAAGTGATTTTCTGAACAAGTATTAGAGGAGAGCATGTAAAAATAAAAACATTAGAATGTGAGAAATATTTTCTTCTATTTTCCAAGCATTTTCTCATATGGTATTATTAGCATAATAACTTAAAAGAGTGTGAAAGATGAGGATCGGAAGTCTTTTTTAGCAGAGAGAATCTTTGAAGAAAATGAGTAATAGCTGCCTCTCTGAGAGCCCAAATACACATTTTGAACACTGAAAACTGTCCACCTCTCACTTTTTTGCCCATGCCACTTTTGTTAGATATGCCACATACCTGGTTGATGTGCTTCAGTTTGTCAATAATTTGACTAACCACTGGCTCGGGGCCCTTCATTTTCAGCTCATGGAGGTTGAATTGATTTTTCATCCCATTTCTCGCTGCCTTTTGGCTGTATCTGTAAAGGTGAAGGTAAAGAGGTTTGTCAAAGAAATTCTCAAAGGGAAAGCTGACTGTACTTGACACCAACAGTCAAGCTGACCACAAATTCTCTTTAGCCTTTTAGACTATGGGATGATCCCATGGTGCAAAAGTAAACCATTCCAGATAGAGTCCACTATAAATCAGTGGAGAACATTCAATCCACAGTCAACAAATATTCAGTCTCCTTTTCTTCTCAACGTTGGGGATACAACAATGAACAAGACAGACAAGGTCTCTGCTCTTATTGTGCTCTCAATTTAGTAGGGCACCTAAAAGAACAAAGGCCAATGTCAAGACACAGCAGGAAGAACTACGCTAGGGTAGGTTCAAGGTCTTGGCTAGTGAAGTGCATCAAAAGGACTAACTCTTAAGTGTTGTTTTGCTACTCATTTGCTCTCCTACGGAAGACAGAACACCAACTCAAGGAAAGCTTTAGACTTCACTTCAAACTCAAGTTGTAGTACCTATGGATATCCCCACTGCCATGAGAACGGGAAGTACTTATTATCCTAGGCAATTCTACCTTTTACCCCTAGTGTTGGGCTTTGCCAATGTCAGACACACAGTCATTCACACCTGAGGTGGACGTCTGATACCCTTGTGGTTCCAGATCTCTGCATATCGTTATGGCTCATTTTGCAAAATAAAGCAAATGAAAAAAAATAAAATAAAAAACAAGAAACAGATTTCATTTCTTTCTTTTCTTTCACCATGTGTGAATACCAGAACACAATTACCAAAGAGGGAAAAAAGGCTTCAAGCTCTTTTATTTTTGATTTGTCCTGGTCCTGATAATGGAGTGCTTTCTGAAAAGAAAGTTATTGAGAGGTCTTTTGCCCTTTCATGAAATAGCTTTTTACTCAATTACAATAGGGTAGTGAGGGTTAAGGGTAAATCCGTATTTTTAAAATTTACATTTTAGTCACAAAAATAATGATGGTCATTGTAAACAATGAAGAAATAATTGTAAATAGTTAAGAAATAAAAGTCCCCCAATCACCTTGTTTTTCCAAAGAGAGCCCATGATCAAGTTTGATATACACACTTGTAGGAGTTTTCACATACATACACTAATATTTACAAAACATAAATACATATAATTATATATTTATATTATACATAATATGATATCCAAAATCCTATTAATAGAGTATATAATAGATACATTACATATATCATAATATATAATGCATACAATAATTTAATTATATTAATATATAAAGTGAATACTAGTACATACTAATAAATAATGGTATTAACTTTCTCTGAGAAAAAAGTAATTTATAGTAAAATGCTGAAGAGAACATCTGATTATATTTCTTATAAAATGGTACTCTTAACATATTCAGCATGCTGACATTTTTTACAGTATGATCTCCATTTATTTTCCCCCAGAGGGTAGTTTTTCTTCCATCCTTAAAGACTCGGTTCCTTACATGGGTTTTGGTGGCGGTTGTGAGGCAGCAATGACAGGTGTAAATCTGAGCTGAGGTTTCTATCAATTTTGTCAATTGAGCAATCACAAGATCGCTCCTTGACCACCATGAGTGAATGGTACAACTCATGCAGTATGGTGCAGCAAACAGGTTTCTTTCTTCCTCATACACATGCACGTCTCTGTCAGAGAGACAGACACTAACACCAGACCACACCCACATAACTTATTATAGTCTATTGTTATACTTATTTTATTATTGTTGCTATTAATCTCTCACTGTGCCTAAATTATAAGGTCAACTTTATCATAGGTATGTCTGTACAGGACAAAAACATAGTTCACTCATCTCTGTATCCAAGAGTGACTACTTCCCAGATCGCCACCTTCGGTTGCCAAAATCTGTGGATACTCAATCAAGTCCCTTATATAAAATGACACAGTGTTTGCATATATCCTACACACTCCTCCCCTGTAGTTAAAGTCATTTTTATGTTATTTATTTATAATGCCTAGTAAAACATAAATTCTATATAAATAGTTGTTATACTACATTGTTTAGGGAATGATGGCAAGAAAAAAGTCTATGTGTTCAGTATGATGAAAATTTTCCCTATTTTCTTTCTTTCTTCTTTTTGAGGCAGGGTCATGCTATGTAGCCCAAGCTGGCCTGGAACTCATGATCCTCCTGCCTCATCCTCTTGAGTGTTGGGATTCAGGTGTGCCCCACTATGCCTGGCTTCCCTATTCTTTTCTTTTTTTGGCAGGGCTAGGGAGGAAACCCAGGGCCTCTCACAGGCAAGGCAAGTGCTCTACTACTCAGTTACAACTCTAGCCCTCTTCTCTCTTCTTTTCTTTGGGGAGATTGAACCCCGGGTCTTAAGCATGCCAAGCATATGGTTTACTACTGAGTTATAGCCCCAGCCCTCTACTGTGAACATTTTAAACTTTTATAAGTATTCAGTTTTTTAAGGAGTAACATTTTATATGACTTTTAAACGTTTTCCAGCTTTCTTGAGGTACAACTGACAAACAAAAACTCAACGCATCTACCATGTATAATGCGATGTTTAGATGTGCATATATCTAAACATATATATTGTGAAATGATTACCACAAGCCAGCTAATTATCCTACCATGACTTCACAGTGGCAGTAACATTTAAAACCCATCCTCTTACTGAATCTCAAGTACACAATACAGTACTCTTAACTATAGTTACCATGCTGCACGTTAGATCCCCAACAAGGTATTTTTCTTTAAAGGCAAATGAAAAAAACAAAACAAAAGAAAAGTTAAAAAGTGAAAGTGAGGCTAACTCATGTGGTCACCAATGAAAGTTTGTTAGGTAAAGCACAGTCATTTCCTCTTCCATGAAGTAACTTGGATCAGTGAGAATATGAGTAAGAATGTGTATTTGGGGCTGGGGGTTTGGCTAGGTAGTAGAGCGCTTGCCTGGCATGTGCAAGACCCTGGGTTGCAGCCCCAGCACTTCAAGGAAACAGATCACAAAAGCAAAACGTAAACCAACAAAATGTACACAATTAGTAGCACCCTCTCTCAGAAAGGCCAAAAAAAAAAAAAAAAAGAAAAGAAAAGAAAAGTTATTCAAATTCTTGCTACCCTTCCCTGTAGATACCTAAAGTCCTCGCCTGGTGGGAAATGCGGGTCCCTCTAAACCACACAGAGTGAGCCCGACCCCACTGTCCTCATGTCTAGGTGTATCCTGCGTTGCCAGTTCTCCCTTTATTTCTGCTCCATTTGCCAGTCTTTGAGGTCTGGGAGCTCTATGAAAGCAGAGGCTGGGTTAGTTCCGTTGTGCGTCACCCAAAGTATCTCATGATATACTGCTCCAAGCACTGAAGAAAAGAAAGCATGTAACATCTTACTAACCTTTCTAGCTACCATCAGCCCTTTTACACAGATGAAGAAACTAAGGCCCAGAGAAATTAAGTCACTTGCCTAAGAACACAAAACCCATCTGTAGCAGAGCTGCAGTTTGAACCTTGACAGTCCAGCTCCAGTGACTTATGTTCTTAGCCACAATGCTGATTCTCCTTAGAGATACCTGGTAGCACTTCTTCATCACACTGCTCCATCGCTCCATGACAGGAGACAATGAGGAGCTACTTGCCTACCAAATCTGTTCTTTTGGCCTGCTCAGCAGATTCCTGGGCTTGCCCTTTAAAAGCTCTTGTGGAGGACTTGTGCGTGGAGTTTCTTCTCTCCAATGTACAATGGTATGTCACTCAGTGAAGTTTGAGAAATAAGTAATGTGCCACTACCGCCACCATCATGGTACTGGACAAACACCAAAGGAGTTCTGAACATTTTAAACCTCTGAGGACAGTGGGAGAAGACATTCGGAGAGTGCGGTGCACAATGCCTTCCTGCCTTGTCACTTAGGCTACAGCCAAAAGACACATGTGCTGTGTCCTCGGGGAATTTCATGCAATGTGCACGCTCTGAGCTTGGAGCCCACGGGGGATCGGTGAGGGGTGTCTCCGCAGTTTCGAGTTAATTAATTCATTCAGCATTTCATTTCCATAGTTCCCTCAGTACTGCTGATGCACACGGTTTGTGACAGGCCTTGAATGAGGATGAGCCATCCTAGTCACAACTGCTCTCATCCAGACTGCCCAGAGGGGGTCAGGAGTGGGGACACTCATTAGCCATGGGAGATTTTAACGGTGGGTTATCTGCTTAGTAATACTCATCTGTAATTTAATTAATTGTCCTCTCTGCATACTCCCTCCCTTCTGAAGCTCAGACATGCTTCTAGCAATGAATACTGGCCAGGGGAGGAAGGAAATAAATGAACAGAAGTGCCTACTTCCACAACCCGACCAGTTATGTGTGATGTTAGAAGCGTTCCCTTTAGTCATTCCGTGCGGTGTCTTCTTCCCCGATCCAGTTCAGTTCACACACACACACACACACAAACGACTGCCATAATACTAAGAAAACCCTATTTGTGCAGTGAAAAGGGGGACATGCTCCCTCCTTTCAGGCAGATTGGTTAGGGAGTGGGGTGGAAGGGAGGGGGAAACCTGTGCAAAAGCCATAAAGAGAAAAGGAACCTAATTAAAACAGGACATCTGGGCATGCTTGTCTTGGGACAGTTGAAGCAAAGAGAGCACTTGTAGGAAAGGAATAGAGTCAAGCAAGCGGAAAATGGGCAAGCTTTTCTTCCTAGTTTTGTGCTGGCAGAGGCAGCGAGGGTGGCGTGGTAAGAAATCAATGGATCCAAACGTAGAACAGTGCATGTGGAAGCGCACTTACAGATAGCTGGTCCAATCCACTCGCTGTGTGGATGAAGAAACTGAAGCCCAGCAAGGGACTTTTCCATGGCTAGTACCACAGTATCACATTTAGAAGAAATCCCCTACTTTACAGGTTTCTCAACCGTACCTTGCTGAATTTTAAAACTCCTAGTACTGATTTAAGCCAAGGGAACTGCTAGAAAATTCACTTTCCTTCTTCCCCTAGGCATTAGAACAATGGCGGGTCTTAGAACGACTAGCTCCCTACCATAAAT